CATGTACTTCACATCCATTATGAAGTTTCCAAAAGAACTGATAATGCTAGCACAATCTTTGGAAGACTATCCGAATTTTGTTGGAACAGGTGATTGCATATAATGTTGAGCATCTACAAGACAGTATTCCTAAGAGTCATGAACTGCCTTGTAATAGGGGGCCTTCTCCGGGACAATTAGTCTTTGGCCTCCCCCACTTTTTCTGGGCCAACCGCCCACCTTCTCTCCTGCCATGCCTTGCTATTGTCTAATTAATGATATTAATTTGGTGGGAGGCTGCCCATTTCTTGCCACAATGCCAGGGGGCACTATCTGCAGCTCTGTTCCTTCCCTAGACTGCAGCCCAAGCCTTGCAGATGGCATCCACAGATGTTACCGTCACTGGCCCCATACTGGGCCCCAGAATCCTCCAGTCAGGACCCCTCTAAGATCCCTCCATTCAGGCAGCCTCCCCCACCCTCATTCAGGGCTGCCTAGCTCCTTGAAACTATATCCCCTCTCAGGTGTGGTCCCCCGGAGACCTTTGGCCACACAGGCCCTGGCCTCACCTCCAAGGCCAGCTGGAACCTCAGGTCCTCAGCTCTGAGCATCCCTCATGGTGGGCCCTTGGCCCTTTTGACCATTCTGGTCCTGGCCCCAGTATTGACTAGTTGAGGGTACTCTACATCAGGTCTCTGAGCCTCTAGCCCCACTCGCTTGGGTCCACCCTCTGGACCCGACTAGTGGGTGAACCACCCAGTTGTGGGAGCTAGGGTTAAGGCACCCCGACCCACCTTTCACTGGGGTGATAACTGGCCTGGCATTTCCTGGAGGCTCCTGCACCAAGACCCCCACCAGGCCACCCCCTCCCGACAGGGTGTAGTTTTAGGTCATGCCCAGGACCAGGAGCCTCCTAGCCATCCCCTACAGCTCCTCCCTTACCTCCAGGTTGTTCCAAGCAGCCCTGCAGCCAGGCGATGTTACTACCTGCCTGCCAGCAGTTAACTGATCTGTTTATATAGGCAGCAAGGGATCTAAAAATGGCTGCTGCAATCAAGCACCTGCTGGCTGCTTGGCTGGGCTCTTAAAGTGGCAGGCACAAAGAGTGCCCTGCCACATGTCTATAGACAGCATATCAAGGATCTGAACTATTTGTCTAAAAATTGTTAGAGAAAGCAATAGGATATTGCACATTTAACCACCAATGAATAAGCCTCAAAGCAGAGGTATGACCCTTGCCATATCTGATATTAAGTTAGGAAAAAAAGCCAGCATCTATATTGCATAGCTACAGGGACAATACCAGGCTAACCCAAGATTTTAGTACTGGGGAAGAATGTGCTTCTCAACTGGCAAGACTAGCTGCAGAATCCAGTAAAGTTATGCCCAAACCAAAATCTCTTTAGGCGATACAGGGGTTGCAAGTGTGCCTTCCAGCTTGCATAGTGCCAGGGCATGGGGTGACCCTTTAATTGCATGATCCCCAGTTTGTTTTGTAATAATAGAAGACTGTAAATCTTATTTTACTACTGCAGTGTGGGTTATTGCACAGATCACTGAACTAGGGCTCAGGAGCTGCATGTTTCATGCTTGCCCTGTGGAATGTGTTGGGGTCCCAGGGGTGGCTATGATACACCCTGGTGGCTCTGCAATCATGC